AGTCCTTTTCTCAATTTGTCATAAAAAATTAATGTCCATTTTAAAGCCGTCTTGAGTTGATATTAGGTTTTAGAAAATGTTCATTTGATTTTATTAATATTTTTCAAATTTAAATTTAATAATTTTCATAAAGTTATTAAATTTCCTAAAGATTAAATAGCTGAGAAATAGATCTTTCATTCCATTCCAAACCAAATAAACATAGATTATCAGGTCAGAAGTTGTCTAAAATTTTGAAAATAATCTTTTTTGGATGAGCCAAATCGCTTGCTTATTAAAATGGTTAGAATTTAATAAATTGAATTCTAAAATTTATCTAACTTTATCATCAAATAATAATACAGCAAAGAGAGAAGTATCTAATTTTTTTAAGATTTTTGTTTATTCCCTAAATATCAGTATCTAAAAATATCAACCTTTTATCTTTTTATTAACTTAGCTAATTAACTATATATAATGTGATTCAAAATATATTTAGATTATGTACTAATTTATTTATCATAATTTGTAATTAATAATCTAGTAATAATTCTAGAAGAATTTACCTTCTTTGATTTAGTTAAATAGCTTAGAAAGTCCTTTTAATAAGATAAAATAATAAATTGAGATAAAAAACAGAATAGAAATCACAAAAAAATTTAATGACAATCAAATAAAATTATCTAAACAAATATAATATAAGTTAATAAATAGAATAATGTAAAAATTTATAAGTTATATAAATACACCTTTAGAATTGATTGAAACACGAAAAAATAAAGTTGGATATTTTTAGGCTATTTCAGATGGATTAAAACAATCTAAATAAATACTTAGATGAATTAAATGCAGATGAATAATTTTGATGACTGTTTCTTATGCCCTTCTTATTTGGATTATATACTAAATGAAAAATTTCATTTTAAAACAATAATGCCGAGTTTGTATAATAGCAAGAAGCAAAATTGCACTTTTACCGTCACGTAGATTTTTAATTTATTTTTAACTAAAATAGACAAACTACAATAAACTTTCTGAAGTTTAAATTAAATAAATATTGTTCTCATTTAAAATATCAAAGAAATCTTTCCTGATGAGAACTTGAAATCTAAAGCTGCTAAAATTAATAATTAGATAGTTTTTAAAATTCGATAATTCAAACAAATTATATTTCATAAATTTCACATTCTACAATATTTGGTGTTGATTAGCCAAATAGATGAGTGGATATATTTTCTATTTTGAACTGAGAACAATCATAATTATATCCCAATGAAGAAGACCCAGCCTAAAAATCTTATCTAATAAGAATATCATTTCCATTTTAAGTACCGAATACCGGTCCATAGGATGTTTGTTGCCACATTGCGTATTGTTTTCTATCTGGTTTAAGATGGTAAATTTAGTTTTTTGTTTAAGAAAAGATGAATGAAGCCAATGTATCATCTGCTATATATTATCCACCATCATTTTTGATTTATTTACAAGGAGTGTAACCACCAAAAATAAATTCGCTTTTTGATTTAAATATCATAAGTAAATTTATTTTTCCATTTACTTTATCCCAAAAAGAATTTGAATTCAACCCATCCCTTGTTCCTAAATAAATTAAGTTCGTGCTTTTTATTGTTTTTCTACATTTAGACTGTATTTAGAAAAATAGTGTTAGCCAAAAATCATCACTTGCTAATTTAGGTTTTAAATTTATTATTTGATCAATATATATCAATTTCTCTAATTCCAACTAATATTTTAAAATAATTTTATCTTATTCTCCTAATTTTTGATTTAGTTCTTAGATCTAATGTTGATTTTGAATTTATAATTCATCTAATTTTTTTTAATATTGATCATTATTATTTTTTTCTTCTTTCAATTTTACATTCAATTATTACTCTTTTTCTTCAAACTTAGATTCTATATCTTTTACAACTAATTTAAGTTCATCAATTATTTTATTTTAATCTTATATGAATATTTTATAGTCATTTTCTAAAGCTTCCATAAGTTAATTTTCTAAATATAAAATTATAGTTTTACTCTCTAATTATAGTTTCTTATAGTCCTATTGGAGAGTTTCTAAATTATTCTCTAATATCTCAATTTCATTAAACTTCTTGAAATTTTGGAAATCATTTTCAAATTTATTAGTATATTCATTAAATAATTTCTATAAATTTGTAAGATTGACATGATTTGGAAATGATTTCATTCTATTGTTAAATGCTTTTATTTTAGAAAGATGTTCTTAAAAGGTATGAATGGCTTAATTAAATAAACTCATCTAACAATAAATTTATTTTGAAGAATTTATAAGTTCATCTAACTCTTATTTCATTATCAATTATTCTTAATTTACTTTTGTACCCTCCAAAATTTGTTAAGATAATAAGAAAATTCCTTTGATAAGATTTTCATCTAAAATAATTAAATTTGAATACTCTATATATCTCTTAAGATATTTATTGACTCTTAAATATCTAATTAATCATGTTATTTTAAATTTTCTAATCGATTTTCAATCTCTTTTTAAAATAGTTAATCTTTTGATTTCATATATTAAATATTTGAATCCTCAATACGATTTTCTTTATCTTTTTGAATTAAATAATTAATATTTTAAATCAATTCTTCAGGACTTAAATCTTGAATTGATATCTACTTAATTTTACCAATTTCAATAATCTTACTTGTAGGTTAATAAAATTCTTTTATTACTTTATCACTAATTTCATTAAGTTATTAATTATAATTCTTTCTCATAATAGCAATCTATTAATTCAATTTCTCTTATTTTTCTTACCTCTTTATTTTTAAATCATATATAATTTATTCTAATTGTTTATTTGTATGATTCCATTGTTAATTTACTTCTTCAATTGTTCTATATTACTATTGAGGATGATTACTAATGCAATCAACACAAACAAATCTATCTTCTATTTTTTTATTTTTGCTATCTATATCAATCATAATGATTTCCTTATTATGTGTTGCACAAATACGATTTAAGCTAGGTGTTTTCTAAACAATAAGAATTTTTTTACTTAATTATTTTTATTTTGTAATGTATTCAATTAAATTTTTGTATTTTCATTAATTTCTTAAATTTTCTATTTTGCAGCCTTAAAAGTGTCTATTGTTTAGAAGTATACTGAATTGTTAAATAAAAGCTCAAATTATTTAAAAATTTCATCAATAAAAGAATTATCTTAAAAAGTTTATAAATTATTTTCATAGGTTTCAATTAAAAGGAATTTTGAAAGTGATTTAACATCTTCTTAGAAATTATTTTAAATTGAAGGATTTTCTAAAAAAGACTATTTTTCTTTTTGAATTACAAATATTTGAGCTTTTATTTGACTATAAATCTTTTCTAAACTATTTTCTAGGTTACATTTAAATTCCATAATTTAATCAAGTATGTTTTTAAAGTAATCCAACCTGATTTGAATCTCTTTAATTTTATTCTCTTATCTTTAAGATTTCAGAGATTATATTCTATCTTTTGTTTATTCAATAGTTGATATTTTATTATTATTCATTTTCTCAACTAAACAATTACAGCATAAGTATTATAATTAGGATTTTTCTGATGATTCTAATTCTATAGCAATTATTTCACGTTTATGAATTTTACAAACCATATCTTCATTCTCAGACTGTTATTATTATATTTAAGATGTAATAATATTCATTTGTTAATGATTTTTATTATTTTTATTAATATGAAATAAATTTATCATCTGCTACTTTTCTACATCTAATAAACATCAAATTCTATTAAATTAAATAAATTTATGGAAAAAATAATTTATGCATAGTATTTTTTAATTATATCTAATTATTCCAAAAAATCAATAATCAAGGGGATTATCTTTCCAAATATTCAAAAATAATAGGGTTATTAAAATTCAAAAGATTTTTATTACTATTTACACATTATTATCAATATATCTCTTTGAATTTTTGAATAAATTATTATCAGAGATTGATTAAATGTTATACACATGATATAAATATTATCTACAAAAAAAATATTATTTTATATAGATAAGTTTAATAGATCCATAATGATTAAGTATTATAATTTATTTTCTGATATTCTGATAGTCGTCAAGAAAAAACCCTTTTTATTTAATAAAGAGAAGTTTTAATGATTTAATTTCTAAAAAAATCAAGATCTTCAAAATATTATACTTTTTTACTCTGTAATAATTAAATAATTAGAATAAAAATAAAATTACTGATTGAATATGATTATATCAGTCCATTTGAAAATTAATATTATTATGATATTTATGAAAATAAACAAGTATTCAAAGAGCAGGTGTATAAAATCGAAAATTGTATAAATTGCTTAAAAATGATGTTTATTATTAGATGACAAATATTTTAGATTAATAAATTAATTAATATATAATCCCTAATAATAGATATAAAATGAATAATTAAAGTTCATAAATCAATAAAGCAATTTCTAGAATCTTTATTAATATTATGATTTAGAAATATTGATTTTAAAAAACATAGCAATTATCCAAGAATAAAAGAGAAAACGCTCCATGAAATTACTAACATTAAATTAAAATTGAATATACAAATATTGAGTTTTAAATTAAAATTAAACCTAAATTTATTAAGAAATAGAAGAGATAAAATCTTATTTTTTTTAGCTACTTAATTCAAAAATTAAATGTAATTCATAATTATTTGCTAATAATGAATTTATGTAAATAAAACTTAAGTAATTCTAATTAATAAAATAAAAATGGAGATACATTATGATAAATAACAATATCTATCTTCACTAAGGCATTTGAGAAATGAGAAATTATAGTTATTTGATAAGAGAAAGTTCAAAATGATTTTTAAACCTGATCATATAAAGAAGTATTCGATTACAAAACAATATTGGATTTTATTAATGATTATTTCTTTTGTTTTATAATTAAAAAGAATATATAATTTGATTGATAATTATTATACAATTTTCAAAGTTCTCAAATAATTTTTATAATATGCTATAAAATAAAGGAGAAAAAAAGGACAAAATTCAATAACCTATGTATGAACTTCTACCAGAGATGACTTATAAATAAAAATAATGGTGCTATGCTATGTCTTTTAATCATACTAGAACACTTTTAGCTTTGGCAGCAAATTAGGATATTAAAATTTTCTAATTTGCAGATGGATTTATGAAGTAGATTTAATAACTAAGAGCTCATTCTTACTTAATCACAACTCTTAATACATTACGAAGTAGATAACATTTGATTTCTAGTTCAGAAGATACTTCTATAATTATATGGTCAACAAATCTCTTATAAAATCCAAAATACCTAATAAAATTAAAGGGTCATTAATCATATATTAATTGTTTAGTTGTTCATCCAATAAATGAAAATCTGATAGTTAGTGGATCTGATGATAAGACTATCAAATTTTGGTCTAATCATATTTCCACTTAATAATTAATAAATCATGAAGACTAGAAAACATGGTTTTGTTCCTAGACAATTAATGATCATACTTCTATGGTTTATGGATTATCTATAAATCAAAATGGAAACAAATTGCTCTCTTGTGGAAATGATAATATAATTTTACTTTTATCATCCTCAAACAAGTAAAAATGGTAAGTGTTACAAAAGATAAAAGTTGATAAAGTAGGTTTCAGATTATCATTTATTACAGATAATTTATTTGCTTTTCAAGTATGGGCAAGAAAGTTCATTCTCATTTACTCTATAAGCCAAGTTGGAAGATGTATAAAATAAAAAGAAATAGTTATAAAAGGGGAAGGTGCAACATGCATGTAATACTTTCCTCTAATTTATAATTCTGCTAAATAAATTCTAATATCCAAAAATCGATAGAATATTAATATACTAAGTTTAAAATTTTCTGCTCAGTCTAATTCATATTCATGTGATATAGAATAAAACATAGATTATGGTGATTTTAGGATATTTGGAACTATGAGTGATGATGGAGAATTCTTGATTACTTGGGATCAAAATTCATAATCAATATAAGTTCGAAAATTTAGATAAAAAATTGGAAAAAAAGATGGATGATAATTAATAATTATATATAAAATTTTTAAATATATTTTTAATATCATATCACAATTGACAAAGGATTTGTTAGTTAAAGTTGTGAGAGAAGGTATCATATCATATAAAAATGATAGGTATTATTAATAATGAGAAATAAATGCTTTATTGTGTTTTGCATTCTTAAAAAATATATGAAAAAAAAATAGCAAATAATATAAAATACTAATGTAAATAATAATTTTGTATTTCATAAATGATTGAAGTACATTATCATAAGATAAGAAATCTTTAAATATGTAATAAATGATTTAAGTTAAAAATTTACAATCAATTAATTACCAATAATTAAAATAAATATTTTAATTACATTTTCAAAATGTTTAATATTCAGATTGATATCAGAAATGATTCAAATACATAATATAAATATAAAATAATTCAATATTAAAATATAAAACATGAATTAGTAAACCAATTTAAATCAATTTAATTATGAATTAATGGAAGAAAAATCAGTTCCTCAGAATGGCTTTTACAAATCCATAGAAATTAATAAAGAAAATACTTTTTTATTAGCATCAACAGATATAACAATAAATGTTTTTGTTTTTTAATAGGGATTTATTAAACTGATATCTTAATTGTAAGGTCATAGAAATTATGTTACATCTCTCAAATTTTTGAATAAGAAATCAAGATTTTTATCAGGATCACTTGATAAATCTATTATTATATGGTCATAATAATTATTGGCAAATCAAAAATACATCTAAAAAATTAAAGATCATTAAAATCCTATTGTTGCATTAGTTATTCATCCAAATATTGAAAATATGTTTATTTCTGCATCTTATAGATAAATTTTATTTTACTAATACTCTTCTCAAAAATAATGGATTTGTTTATAAAAAATAACTGAAATTGATGGCATTTTTGGATTGTCAATAAATGAAAATGGAACTAAAATTGTATTATGTAGTGAGAATCATATAATAGTAATATTAGAATTATAACAGTTAATATAATAGTAGAAAAGTGATCAGATTTGGATAGTGAAATAGAAAATTAAAGTCAGATAATGGGGTTTTAGAGTGTGTTTTTTAAATAATGATACATTTGTATTTTAACCTGTTTCTAAAAATTGGAATGGAACATCACATTTAAATGTTTATACATTAAATAAATTAAATGAATTTAAAATTTAAAGAAAGATTCCTATTAAAGGCGGAGGGAATTTTTGCATTAATAATTTTCCGTCTCAATATAATAAATAAAAATATATTCTTCTTGTGAAGAATGGTAATTACATAAATTTGTTTAAATACACTGAAGGAAAATTTAGATTAAAATATAAGTAGGCTCTTTGTTTTGACATTACAAAAATATATGGAACTTTAAGTCAAGATGGAGAATATTTGATTACTTGGGATGAAAAGTAAAGGTAAATCTAGATTAGAAAATACACTGAATTAAAGAAGATTTAAACTATTGAATGAAATTAAAAGAGATTTAAGTAAAATTAGTTTAATGAAATTTATTCATATTAATAATATGTCTTATATACTTTAATATTGATTCAACTAGATAAGTAAATTGCTAAATATTATCTTTCATCTTCGACACTTAAATAAGATCATTTTTACATAAAATGAAAAATGAACTTTTAATTATTAAATCTCAATCAATATATTTCTAAATCTTTAAATTTACATCAATAATATTTTTAAACTTATTATATAATTTAAAATAAATCAATAGTTCATATAATCTCATAGTATTATATGGCTTCTTTTTAGCAATCTAAATCCATTATATCTTAAAAGTAAATAGATTGATCTCTAATGCCTAATATATTCTTCTAATTCAATAATTATTTACTCTTATTATGAATAGCTTTACTATAATTTAATTACCTAATCATTGGATTCTATAGCTTCCTAATTAGCGTTTTATTTATTTCATTCTAATCATATAACTGTTTTGTGATAGAGCAATACCTAAATAAGCATTTACAAAAATCTTATTAAGGTTATTTTAGAATATTAAGGCTTTTAATACTTATTAATGTAAAATTAATTGGCATTTCAATAGAACTTCATATCATATAAATTCATTATAAAGATTAATCAAATAATAGAATTTTTTATATATGGTTTTACTGAAAGATTTATATACATTTATTTTAGAATATTTTGGACTTATCTTAATAACTTAATTATAAGATTGTGTTGCTTCTTAAAATTGATTCAAATCGTAATAAAA